CTGAGCACTCTGGTCAAACACCGCAGGCCCCGCTTAGTCCTTGCCTGTGGAGGGGGTGTAAAAAACTTCAGGGAAGGCACACCAGAGCACTGGGGCTCCCGGAGGGGACCTGGGCAGGGGCCTGCTCCCCTGGATCTAAGGGCGGTGCTGTAGACATACACACTTAGTCCTGGAAAGTGTCCTCGGAATATTTTCTTTCCCTCATCTTCTATATTCTTTCTTTCTAGAACTCCTATTATATATTAGACTTTTTCATTTTATTTTTTATACATCCCTTCCATTTCCTCAGATCCAGTTTCCAATTCATTACTTTTCTTTCCAACTCTGCCTCTTTTGCTTGGTAACCATCTATTGAGTTTTAAACCTCAATTATGATATCTCTAAATTTTAGAAGTTCTATTTGCTTATTTGCCAAATCTACCTGATCTTTCCTATCCCTTTTATTTCTTCTTTTGTTGTTATTTTTTATTTTGTGAGTTGGGGTGTCTCATTCTGTTGCTCAGGCTGGCCTCAAACTTGATCCGGTGATCCTCCCACCTCCGCCTCTGGAGTACCTGAGACCACAGGTGTGCGCAGCCGTGCCTGGATGTTTCTTCTTTCGCGTCTTTAATGATTTACTGATGTTGATTCCATGTGCTCTTCTAGACTGTGGATCTATTGTAGGAAGTGCTCGGTGGCCACACGTCTTGCCTTCTGCCCCACCTGCTGATTCGCGCTCATGGTGGCTGGTTTCCGCTGTGGAACGTTTCAGTGGGAGGCGGGGCAAAGGGTTTTGTGCTTGTCTTTCTTAGATTGCCCTAGCCGACCTCTTTCTCGTCTCCCCCCCCTCAGGGCCCCTCTCTCCCTGCAGGTAGACTTCCACTGCATGTGTGCCTGGACACAGAATCAGCTTGAGTGGGCCAGGTGCCACCGGTCTCCCCGGTTCTCTGTGTATCTCCTCGTCATGAGTCTGACCCGAGCCGGTTCTCATTTCCCAGGGCATTGTAGACAGCTTTACCGGAAAGTGGCTGGTAGAGCTCCAGCATGTGATCACGTCGTCTCACGTGCATACGTGTGTCCTGCTGCCGCCGCCTCTTCCCGTGTCTGCAGCTTCCTCCACCCCGCTGGTCTTGCACTGGCAGCCCACCCAAAGGCAGTGGGCACTGCCTGCCGGGCACTGGGAGAGCCCCCGGAGGCCTCCGTGCAGCCTCTCACTGCCACCTTCTCGACCTCTGCCCTCCTGTGGCCTGTGTGCCTGGACAGGGCGTGGTGGAAAGCCCTGGGCCTGGAGGGTTGAGGGCGTCACGCGGGCCCACACTCGCTTCGTGCAGCCAGGCTGGGGCCGCTGACCCGTCTGGAAACCCACCCCACGTGTGGGGAGTGAACTCTGCTGTGTTCCCTGCACCCCATCCCGTGCCCACACGCCTCCCTGGGGAATGGGCCCCCAAACTCCTGCTGGCCGTGCCCACCCTGCCTCCCACAGAGGAATCCGTGACCATACGGAGATTTTGGCCACATCACCTTGTCCTGCAGAAGCGTGTGTCTGGGTCACGGCCGTGGGAGCCACTGCCTGCTGGCCCCAGGTCCTTAGAGACCACTGGGTGGGTCCCTCACGGCTGCTCATGGGATCTGGGTTCTCAGGCTCCCTGGTGGTCCCTTCCATGTTATGTGTGGGCCCCACCTCTAGCCCACCCTATTACATCGCCTCTGGGTGCTGAGAAGGTCCAAAAAGGCCTCAGACATGGCCAGAAGCTTTTAGGCCACCACGGGCTTCAGCATGGGACAGGGTGACCCCCGAGAGGAAGGAGAGCAAGTGGCAGGTGCTGGTCGCTCAAGCTGCTGCTCCCCAGGCCAGGGCTCTGCCATGTGGGGACACAAGGCAAAGGCAGTGGCATCCCCATAAAAAAGGGAGAAGGGAGAAGGAAGCAACCAGGCCTGACTCACCTTTCAGGGGAGAGGGAATGGGCTAAGATTTAGACATGGACAGACAAGCCCATTTCTTCTGACACTGGCTGAGATCCGACGGCAGGGCTGTCTGGAGCTCCGGGGAAGCAGGACCCTGAGACTGAGTCCCAGGAAAAGCCTGTGATGGTGCCCAAGGCTGTCCACAGGCCCAAAGGGGTCCCGTCCTCTTCTCTGTCCCTTGTCTTTTCAGGGACTCGGTGCAAGGTTGGTTGGATGCTGGTGGGTGCTTCTGCCGAGCCTTCAGCAGACACCTGGTGCCCATGCGTGCCCAGCATTCAGCTCCCACTTAGGACATGCTTTTGTTCTTTTTTATGGCTGTGTAGTATCCCGTCGTGTCTATGCACCCCATTCTCTTTATTCAATCCACTGTTGAGGGGCACCGGGGTGGGTTCCATATTTTCGCTGTCGCGGACAGGACTGCGATATCCATGTGAATGGAGACAAGGGCACAAATGTCTCCCCACAGTGGCGAGGGAGGGGTGAGGGGCGAAACCACCCACTGGGTACCACATTCCCTCTTGAGTGATGGGCTCCGTCGAAGCCCATCCTCGCCATCGTGCAATTTGCTCGAGTGACACACTCACCCACATACCCCGGGTCTAAAAAGACAAAACAAGCCCGATGCCCAGCACCGCTTCCGGGGAGATGGGAGTGGACCGAGGTGTCCAGCTGCCAGGAAGCAGCTAGGCTCCCAGCTCCCAGCGGGGCCAGAGCGTCCCTCCACCCTGGATGGAACCCTCCTCGAGCTCTGGGAGAGTCGGGCTGGAGAGGGCCTCCTTCCCCTCCCTCCACACCTCCCACGCCTGGAAGACCAGGGCTTGAGTTCTCACGACAGGCCCCCTTCACGTAGAGGCCAGTGTGCCTGCTACAGCGGAGGTTCGAGCCCCGGGACAGGCCCCGGGGACACTCGCTGGGCTGGAACGCCGCCCTGAGCCACTGCGTGCTGTCCTCAAGCTCCAGCCACAGCCCGCTCCTCCAGGTCCCAGCATGGCTGGCCTTTCCTCCTGTGTTTCTAGCATCTTCCGCCCCCACACCTACCTGGTGAGCATGTGAGCCTTCGTGGATGAGCCAAGGACATTTCCTCCCAGCTCCTGCATGTCCCCAGAAGAATGAGCACATGTGTCTTTACAATTAAGACCTATCTCATAAACACAGGCAGAGCCAGGCGTGGAGGTGTCCATTACCCAGGAAACTGAAGTAGGAGGATCGCTTGAGCCCAGGCGTGCGGGACCAGCCTGGGCAGCATAGCAAGACCCTCCTCTCTAAAAACATAAGTTCCTTAAAAGTCTTGTCTCCTTCATGTTTCTAAGTGTCTGCTTCTGTCTTGGCACTGCAGTTGGAACCAAGCAGATACTCCATACCCTAGAAATGTCTGTTGACTAATAAATTAAGGGTTGACCTAGGAAACAGCCCCTCCACAGAGTGATCCTTCTGCATTTAGAACTTCAAGGGGACTGTTGTCTCTGATGCGTGGCACCAGCTGTTGCACCAGCCACGGGACAACCTGCCTCTTGATATGAAAAGATTGCCAGCAGGGCAGTGGGCAGCTCTTCTGTTTACTGTAAATCATCAACCCAGGTAAGGAAAATCACTTGCATAGTTCTGCTCGTTAAGTTCCACCCCAAACAAAGCTGAAAGAACACCGCTATCCCTGCCTGAAGCAGGAAGTAAGAAACAAGAGTCCTCTGTTGTCACACACTCACGCGAGACCCGCTTCAGAAACCCACCCGTGATCTAGAGAAGTCTTTGCTGGTGAGTTTTTAAAATTCGAGCCCTCCAGAGGCTGACAGGAAAGCAGCCATAAATCACACGTATTCAAACACCACTCTGTGGTTGATGAAGTGACCCAACACCAGCCCGCTCAGTCTCTGAAGTCGAAACCTTTCGATCTTGCTGTGGCTGAAATGTGGCACAGCTAACATCACGGTGAATGGCTGCCTGGAGTCTGCATAGCTATGTCCCCGTTATCACGTACCAGGTCTCATCGAAATGTGTTTGGTGTCACAGAAGACTGTGGGAGTTCTCAGACCGCCGGTTTAGTTTCAAGACAACCGGGAGGGTCCCTTTAAGCTGTTTTTACATACTGATTGGGTGCCAGATTTTAAAAGAAAATCAGACACTATTCTCAGGTTAAAATGGAGCCGCAAATTCAGAACAAGGAGCCCACTTCCTAGAGGCCTTAATCATTGTGGTTAATAATGGAAATACACTGTCGATATCACAATACTCCAGACCTCCTCTGACAGCTTTAGGAGATGAGTAATTTTTCTCAGAGTTGATGGGTTGATGGTACCCCGAGCTCAACCAGTCTCCTGGGGACACCAGGGAGGTCCACAGGCGCTGGGGGGTTGGGCAGGGGTGAGGAGGTGGGGGTTGGGGGAGCAGAAAGGAGCCAGTGTCTCCCCCTCAGAGAATCCGGTGTCATTCAACACAGAGACTCACCCGCCCGCTGAGAGATCGCGGTGTCACTGCAACATGTTAAGGTGTTTGCCTTTTTTCCCCAAGGAAGTTTAATATCCTCGCTCAAAATCTGGCAGAAGTCTCAAAAGCTCTGTCGAGGGGAAGGAGAGACAGGATTGAGAAGAAAAGCGGAAGGCAGAAGCTAAGAAGGAAAAGAAACTGTCGTGACTGCTGCTGGTCGGTGGAAGTCTCCCTCCCTCTGTCCGTCCGTCGTCCCTCCCTCCCTCTCTCCCTCCCCGTTTTCCCATCTTTAGGTTCCTTGGCGGAAGGGCACCCAGCTGACCCCAACAAGGGGCAGACAGAGCTCTTTTTCTTTCCTTTCCTCTTTGTGCCATAAAATGAAAGAAAAAAAAGTAAGAGATTGTGGTTAAATCTTGACCCCAAAGCTCCACAGGGCAGAGCATCCTTCGGCAGCCAGAGAAGCAGGATCAGGTCACCTGCAGGGATGCCGTCACCCCACAAAGCCCGAGGGGCCAGGGGGGGGTCTGTCCCAAGGGACAGGGCCCTGCCTGACCCTCCACAGCTTCCCGCCAGGAGAGACAGCACGCCTGCATCCAGAACTGCAGTCACTTTCCTACTGGACACATAAAAAAAACAACCAGGCAACAAGTTTATTCACCAATAAAAAAAGGTTTTACAAAACTATTTGTATAAGAAAAGGATAATTTACAAATGTATAAATTCCAGTATGCAAAATAGTAATGATGAACTCTAAATTGATTCAAGCTATCTTAAAGCAATAATGAATTTTTAAATTTTCTTACTAGCACAGACAACCATGCTTAACCTAGGTAACAGCAGTACGAACACTTTAAAGAAAACGCGGTCTTTTAAAAATATATTTCATATACACAGAATTAGAAGAGTCGTGGCTTTACTCGGCCGCCCTTAAATCCTTATCTCATCCGTGTCGGCAGTGTGAAAGTTCCCTCCCCAGGATGCGCACCCAGCCTGTGTACCCCTGTACCCCCAGACTCTCCACCACGGACCTTGAGTGTCAGCCCTCGGGCAGCTGAGCTGACCACGTGCCACCGGAACATGCCACCGGATAGTCCTGCAGCGTGAACACGCAAGTTGGATTTTTTCTCAAATGTTGACAAAGAGTGTAAGATATGACATCGTTGTATGTTTCTAGAACAGATGGGGGTGAAATGTCTTCATCTAGGTACAAGTAACCCCTGGGTTTTCAGGTGTGGTATCAAGAGAAATCAGTTTCAGCCCTAAGCCTTTCTCTCCTGATCAAAAGTGAAGTTTCAGGATTTTTGGCCAAAGTCTCATTCCCACCCATCTGGCTTTCTCCAGCAAGTATTTGTCTTTGAAGTGACTCAGGGCCCCACATATGGAAGATACAGTCAGGTCACACAAAGGCTTAGAGCCCTGGCTCACTTTGATCATCCTTCTGTCATAACAGAAGTGATCAGATTGCAAACAACGGCGCACACATGTGAGTTCCAGTGAAGTTGCCTGAGGACGCTTGACTCGCATTTTCATGGCCCTCTTAGGCTCAAATCCTAAATAGTTTACAGAGTGTCCTAAGGGCAATCCTCACAAGAGCTGATGACTACCAAAGCTTAAGAGCCACTGGTCTATGCGAAAGAAGGAAAAGAGGGAAAGTCAGTCAGTTATGACGGGACACTGGATAGACATGAAAGACTGGGGCCGGGGGGTGACCAAGAGACACGACTTTCCTGTTTCTGGGAAAGGAATCGGGGCCATGAGCGGTACCAGACACAGGCAAACCACACACACAGATCAGAACCCGAAACCACGAGCAGAGAAAGGCCATGGGGAAGAGGCTCACTAAACCTTTTGGACAGCTTGAAGAGAGAAAGTTGGGGGGTGATGAAGCTAGGAGTGAGAAGATGGAAACACCCTAGAAAAGAGCTTAATTGTAATATTCAGGTTAAATGGTGGGTAAAAGACACTGAGGTGGGAAAGCAGGGCCAAAACAAAATCTTACACAGGGGTCCCCAACCCCCAGGACACAGACTGGTAAAGGACTGTGGCCTGTCAGGAACCGGCTGTCAGGAACCGGGCTGCACTGCAGGAGGTGAGCGGCAGGTGGGTGGAGCTTCACCTGTATTTACAGGCTCCCATCGCCTGCATAACCCCCTGAGCTCCCCTTCCCATCAGATCAGCCACAGCATTAGGTTCTCATAGGAGCACAAACCCTGTTGTGAACTGGGCATGCACGGGATCTAGGTTGTGGCCTCTCATAGGACTCTAATGCCTGATGACCCCCTCTCCTCCCGTCTGTGGAAAAATTGTCTTCCGTGAAACTGGTCCCCGATGCCAAAAAGCTTGGGGACCACTGCCCTCCCAAACTGATGTTAAGTGTAACTGTGACAGAGCTAGAGTAAGCAGTGCAAAGACAAGGAACAGATCTGGCCATGTAGGTCCAAGCAGGGGGAAAAAACCCTGCTCCGTGAACTCCTCTGCAGAGCAACAGGGTCACAAGTCCACGAGCCATTCTCTGTTTCATGACTGGACCGGGGTAAATTTCTTGGCTCCAGAGACAAGTCTGGTGCGTACGAACCAAGGTGGGAGGGAGAGAGCTCCTTAGCAGAGAGAAGCACCATTCTCTTAACCCAACCTCTTCTGGCCAAAATAGGGACGATGTGATAACTCATCTCACAAGACTGGAGGCCGCACAGCACTGCCCGGCCAAATGATACGGGGCATCGCAGCTGGCTCACCTCATCGACGGCCCTGCCGATCGTGTGTTTCCTTCTGGTTCTAACACAAAGTGTGTCCAAGCTTCTTCAGTAGTAGGGCCCTGATAGGCTGTCATTTCTAAAGTCTTCAGTATAAGATACAATGCAAGCCAAAGATCACTATGTTTATCCATGCCACTTTTCTAGAAAAGAAATTCTGGATCTTCTAAGCCCAGGCACAGGGACGGATGTCACTGATGTTTCTATGACAATTCGTTTTCACATTAACATGCTATCCTTTGCACACGTATCTCTATGGTACATGCACTGAGTGGTTTTTAACTCCGGGTGGGTGACATCCACTAGCCCAGGCCCCCTGGGATGGGCACCACAGGTGGTCACGAGACAGGTGAAGGTGAGAAGTGACCCCAGAAGTGACGCTGGGTGAGAGCTGCTCTCTGATCCCTGGTCAGGCCGGTCAACTTCATCTCACCAACCCCAGACTGAGGCCGTCAGAATGAAGTCAATTCCACCCTCTAAGCTAGTCAGTTTAGGTGATGGAAAGGCGACCTTCTCCGATAGAAACACTCACTTTTGAACCCATTCCACATAAAGGTGAAGGTAATTAGGCTGACATTTCATAGGTGACATGAACTTATTTCTGGTAAAGAACGAGGAAATGAAAATGTCTACTCTGGGTCTTCAGCCCTGTACAACCACACGCACCATAAAAATACGCATGGCTGCATTTCTGTTTCATGTTATAAGTCCGCAGTCTCGTAGGCTGCAAAGTCAACCCTTGGGTCTTTGAAGTCACTCTTGTGGCAAAGAAGCTTGTTGCAAAGCCTCAAAGTTGGCGTGGAGTCTGTCCTTGCTGTTCACGGGGGTTTCAGCTGACAGCCGGTCTGGCGCAGGAGCTGCTGATGAAAGGCTTCACATGCCCGCATTTGGGTCAGATTTATTCTCTCCCCAGAAGCCACTCAAGGTCCAGGCCCTGCTCAGTCCATGAGCCCGACAGAAGGGTGCCTTTGGTTTCCAAACACACTTCTACTGCAGAGAGAAGTAAGTCCTTCAAGCTTCCTAAAACGGCAACAGAAGGAAAGCTTTACAACAGCTTACACATGAAATCTGCTACATAGCCGTTATAGCCAATTATTATGCAAAACTTCTACTAGTAGCATATATGAATTAATAACACATGGACAGGGCAATCTCCCCCCCAGGTCCCCTCCCACTAGGGAAGTTTTTCTGTCTTCTCAATAAATCCTACTTTCTCACCCTCCAAACACACACACACACACACACACACACACACACACACACACACACACACACACACAAGAAGCTCGTTCAATGGTATTCAAATATCCAGGCACCCGTGTACTCTGAGGATGAAATGAAGGTTTTCACGACAGCTCGGTCACCCAACACTGCAGAGAATACTTAAAAGACGGCCATGCCAGCCAGAGCAATCAGAATGTACCAACAAACAATTCCTTTGTGGATGTTCAACCTCATTTACACCTTGGAAGCCCGTTTCTTCTGTGTTGTGCTCCTTGAAAGCATTTGTGGGTGGAGATGCTAGGATTCTTTAAAGAACAAGGCAGAGAACGGAACAGTGTCCTTCTTCACCTGCTGACCGCTTTGAGTGTGAAACTCTCAGTAGGAGAATATTCAGAAGTAGATGGGGTGGGATTTCTCTTCCAATGATCTCCCTGGAATACTCATGACCGTCATGGGGCAAACGTCCTCGGCAAAGTGGATCCGGGAGCCTTGTCCTTACCACAGAGGGCCCTGGCTGCTCAGGAAGGCACGAGGCGGTGGACAACTGAACATCACTGGGGTGAGGGGGGCGGGCGGTGTAAAACCTCAGTTTCCCACACGGACCCTTCACGAACTCATCTGCCATGAGTTTGCATTGGTGACATGCCAGATACATTGATGCAGAAAACTTTTCCCAGATCTAAGGAGATTACCTAGAAATAGAAGCTTCTGAAATACTTTCACGAATAATAGGAGACCGTATTTTATCAAATACGTTGATCAATCGATGTGGCGATGATAACCACATTAGCCTTCCTGTGGGAGGCGAGTTAGCCTTTCTGCCAATAGGTCGCCAAACTGGTACCCGGGTCATCTTCTATGTTTTCTAACCTTCTTGCTCTTTGCCCGTGTAAATGTTTTAAATGTTGCTTTAAAAAGCCGTCTTAGTAAACCACGCTGGCTTCACCCTCCCCAGAGCCTCAGTAAATGATGTACCAAATATCTCAGCTCTGTTCCCTTCTGGGGAGACAGGTAGAGAGAAAATGTGATTTAAATGGGGGCATTACAAGCTCAGTGGCTTATGCCTATAATCCCAGCACTTTGGGAGGTTGAGGCAAGAGGATTGTCTGAGCCCAAGGTCCGAGACCAGCCTGGGCAACATGGCGAGACCTCGTCTCTACAATAATAATAGTAATAATAATAATAATTAGGCAGGTGTGGTGGCGTGTGCCTGTGATCCCAGCTACACGGGAGGCTGGGGAAGGATCGCCTAAGCCCCGGAGGTCGAGGCTACAGTGAGCCATGTTCGTGCCACTGCACTCCAGCTTGGGCGACAGAGTGAGACTCCAACTCAAAAAAACCCCAAACAAAATAAACAAAAAAAAGAAGTCAGACAGACCAGAGACAGCGCTCACACCTGTGTGTTGAATCCTGAACCACAACTGTCCTCCTCAGTGCTGGGTGGCCTTAAACTAGCAAGTGAAAATGCCATTTCTGGATTTCACTGCATCATGCAGCGAAATCACAGCTCACCAAGTAACGACCAAAGTGCTGTTATGGGTACGGCCCTGCACGCCTCCCACACAGACACACAGTACTCTCCTGAGCTATGACAGTTCACGTCCCAGAGCTGGACTCACTGAACACGAAGTCGTGGGCGGACGCCAGGGAGAAGCCTGTGTTTGAGTTCACAGGAGTGAGCCACAGAATCAGACGGTCTATGAGAAGTACATGTGTCCCGTCCCCAGAATATCAGCCAGTTGGAGGAAATGTGAATTGCTCTATAGACTTTAGGAGACTGGGGGAAAAAAAACCCCAAACTAGTTGCGTGAAACACATGGCTGGCCCTTGAAATAAAGAGGACCAAGCTCCCAAGGTCTGCAGGGGCTGCCGTCTCCATTTCCTGTTGAAGACTAAGGTTCATTCGCTGCACGCCACAGACCAGCAAACTAAAGAGAAAGGTTTCCAGAATCTGGGGGAGATTCTCTCTTCAAATGGGCTTGGAATGTTATTTACTGTTTTTAATTGTAGGGGAAAACTTGAAGTGGTCTACTTTCTAACAATGCCTTTTCTGAAACCAGAATGTCATATGTAGATTTCCCTAAATTATCTGGTAATTATACACATCTCGAAAAGTTAGTAAAAACCTTTCCTCAGTAAATTATGATCCTGTGTCCACCCGAATGGAGCATTTTCTCATCAGATTCATTTTCAATGTAATGACAGCTTTTTCTCCATAGGGATTTGAGCAGAAAGTGTCTTTATAGAGATCAAGATCATTACATTCCCTGTCTTTGAAATAATAACTAATATGTCATTACATGCCAACTCCGTCTATACCACGATGTGCTTCTAAAATCCTACATTCACTGAGCTGCCACGATGGAGCGTACAGGCCCCGCTCTCACCACCACCAGCAGACACAGGAAAAGGCGGCGATGACTTGGGTCTGGTGTGACTGTATATCAAGGTGTGTCACCCCTCAGTCTCATCAACGTCCGTCACGCGTGCGGGGACAAGCTACGAAATCCAGGCATGGGGCGATTCTATGCCTGGCAAGGCTCTGAAGAGCTGCCGCTGGTCAGCTGGGAGCCCCGTCATCCCAGTTGCTGGGACTTTCTCCTGACGAGAGACGGACGATGGTGTGATGGACGCAGAGCCAGAAACTCACCTGAGCAGCGGGTGAGGCATCCCCGGATGCCCCTGCTGCTGGGGGCTGTGGTCACCCCGCTCTGTGCTCTGCGTTTTCCCCAGCACGCAGAAGCCCCGCAGCTCTGAAGGACCGGTCACCTGTCCCGGCTGCTGGGCGCTCTCAGCCCGAGTTCCGTGGGGCACGGTCCACTCTTGAGACATCACAGCTCAATTCTTTTGGCTTTTCTTATTTATTATCATGGACATTGTACAAATCATGGGACGGCTCAAAAAAACAAGATGAATAAATAATCTCTCCCAGCTCCAGGCAGAGCTCAGAGGTGTGGGTTTTAACTTTTTTAAACGGCCTGGCTTGCTTGTTTTTCCTTTCTTCACTTACGTCTTCTCCATTTCCCCCACTTTGAGAACAAAACTAACACTTTTTTTCCCTCCAAAGCTAGCAAATGTTTTCTCCACAGAATTCCCTATACTTTAAATTCTCTAAGTTTTTTTGTAGTTAAAAAACAAGTCCTGCAGACTTAGATCTGTATGTAGCTTATGAACTGACTTAAATACATCTGCATTCCCACTTGACTCCAGATTGAGCTTTCAATGGAATTAAGCCAGGAAACACAAGCTCATGGAAGTGGGTGTCGGCATCAGGTACGGCATGCTCAGGGTGCAGCCTCAGCACCCACAGCCCTGGGCTGGGGTGGGGAGGGGCTGGCGATGAAAGCAAGGCCATCGGTGCAGGACAGGGTCTCGGGGACCTGGGCTGTGGCTGTCCCTCTGTCCTTTTATACGTGAGGTGGACACTGTGCTTCCCCAAGGACTTATACTAACAAAGTATGCTCTTCCATTTAAGCACATGTTTACACGTCGAGTCAGAATCAGCAAAGGCCACGTCCTCACGGAAGGGAAAGCAGAGACGGGGCCCACCTGCCCCTGAACCCTTTGCTGCCCCCTGCCTCACCGCACTCAGGAAAGCCCCCATCTCTTGGCAGCTGCCGCCTCCCCCGGGCCCGGTTTTAAACCTTCTACCTGGGAGGGTCTTCGGTTGTGTCTGGCCTCAGATCACAACCAACAATCGAGGTTCAACCAGACAGATCAATCAGTCAGAGCAGAGTGATCCAGGACACAACAGGAGGAGGGAGCACAGGAAAAGTGGCCGCCTCGGGCCACCCGGAAACTTGGGGGCAAACAAGTGCGCTGACATCCTGGGTGTAAGATCATCGTAGGAGAAAGAGGAAGGTCGGGGCTGCCCACAAGATGCTCCCGTGACCAGCTCAGCTCTCTCGCTGCTGGGAGGGCCAGCAGGCGCCGTGCAAGGGAGCTGGGCTTACCTGGAAGAATCAATCAGTGCAGCCGTGCACTTTGGCTTCACCGATGAGCCCAGTTCATTAAAAGGAACAAAAAGACTTTTAAAACGTATTTTGAAACTATTGCACAACCTATAAGAAGGGACAAAAGACGGAAAAATCTCATCAGCTTCCCCAGATGTTATGGCGGGCACAGAGCTCTGGTCTACCGGGCGACCCCAGGTCAATGGTCATGTGAGATCCGCATCGCCTTACCTGCAGGGGCGTCTGTGTGGCCAGGGTCACGATGTCTCCGCTCTCCAGGCCCAGCTGGCTCCTCGAGGCTGGCACCTCTTGAGCTAGAGCTGCTTCTGCCAGCATGTGGTTCCGTCCGGATGAACCTGTCGCTGCCGTCAAGCTGTCGGGAGGAGCCTCAGCGGGGACGGCTCCGCCGGCCCAATCCTGACTGCTCTTTGAATCCAGAGATGCTGAGCCTCCACTTTCTGGGCGGAGGGAGTGAATGTCGTCTCCGGTGAGTTCAGGATAAGAGTCACAAGAAGAGATGCTGTCCCCGCCCATGGGATGCTGCATGAGCGGCCAGGCGTCGGAAAACTCGCCGCAGAGGGACCGCGACAGGGGCCGGAAGAGGGTGGGCGGCGTCTCCCCCGCCGGGCCTGCGTGTCTGCACACACGGTCAGAGAGTTGTACGTTTGTGCTGGGGACAAAAAGCGCCGCTACAAAGCCACACACCAGCCACCCGCTTAAGACTTCTAGATGACGCAGCAATTGACGAAGTCAGAATTCCAGCACTTCCTGTCGTTATAAACTTACCTCACTCTGGTGAGTCCAATGACTCCATCTACCTTTGAACCGAGTATTTCATCTACTTTCACAGGGATATAGTTATACTTAATCCAGTGTCTAAATCATGCAGTTTCCTGGGTCTTATCTGAGTTTCCCTGATTGCAGTTCTAAAATAATGTACCACGTGCACATGGCACACTTAAAATTACTTACAGATGGCAGACGTGTCACTAAATCACAGATACAAGACAAAAATAAAATTAATAGAGAGAAAGCATAAAGAATGCTGCACTGGGTATTAGCAATCTTGAGTGACTAACCTGATTCTTTATTGCTATTATTATTAATTATTATTATTATTATTATTTTTGAGTCAGAGTCTCCCTCTGTCACCCAGGCTGGAGTGCAGTGGCACAATCACAGCTACAGCAGCCTCAACCTGCTGGGTTCAGGTGATCCTCCCACCTCAGTCTCCCAAGTAGCTGGGACTACAGGTGCGTGCCACCATGCCTGGCTAATTTTTTCAGTTTTGTAGATATGAGGTCTCGCCATGTTGCCCAGGCTGGTCTCGAACCCCTGGGCTCAGGCAATCCTCTCACCTCCGCCTCCCAAAGTGCTGGGATGACAGGCCTGAGCCACCACACCCAGCCAGGATACCACCCCCTCCAATATCCCAAATGTCATTAACAATATTTAAAAGGTGATGGTCCCATAGTTTTACACGAAAATTGGTAAATTCGTAGACTGTACATTTACCCAAGGGAACATGTAGTTACAGAAGCAAAGTGCCCGTTACCTCTCCTGAAGTGTGGCCACAGAATGCACCCCGCAGCCGAGCGCCACCCCGTTGGGGCTGCAGGCCTCATCACAGCACAGGGACGGGATCAAGTGCACCGGCCCTAAAACCCAGCAGAGGTGTGACGCTCAGTGCTTTTCTCTGGAACTTTCTCACTAGGACCAGTTCGCCATGGTTCTTGGAAATTCGGCTATTCCCTTTTGGGTGACTTTTCGGGAGAAAAGGGATAAGAACTCTTTTTTCGTATCTTCAAAAATCGCTGAGCCACTTCTATGCAGGGGAAGATGTCCGCGGGGGTGGGGGGGGCAGTGCCAGGGGCTGGGGTGGGGAGCAGTGGACAGGTGGTGTTTCGTGGGCACAGGTTCAGCCTGGGAAGATGGGAGGTCTGTGGATACGGGCGGGGCAGTGAGAAGGCACTTCGTGCCACCGAGCCGCCCCTTAAAAGAGGTTAAGATGCCACATGGAATGCGATGTGCATGGCACCACAGTAAAAAACAGTGACAAGCAGCACTGTGGTCTGCACGGGCGTGTGATGTGAGATGCCTGCCCTGCTTAGGGCCAGGGAAACAGGCGACTTTCCTGTTGGATGGGCTCGTAACAGGAACATACAGATGTTCAAACCCTTTAACTCAACGCACAGACAGACATGTCACTTTACTGGCAGGAATGGGACTTAGGTGTCAGCAGACATGTGCTCCAAGCTCACAAACCAGTATGCTCGTTCTTTTTGGTTACAAAGATGATACCAACTTACTGAAGAAAAAATAAAGAGAGAAATTTAAAATAAACAAGACATTTAAAAATAGATCTTCCCCAATTCTATAAGCTGGAGGTAAACACTGGCAACATTTTTGTGAATAGCCTTCTGGGCTTCTCACTCTCTCTGTAAGCATATACATCATTCTGATTTTACGAAACCACAGACATACTAAAGCACAAAGACACACACACACACACACACACACACACACACACACACACACACACACAGAGGAACAGACTTGAGGCAAATATATATTTTCATATACGTGTCTAATTTTGTGTGTGTATCCAGACTTTCCACAAGGAATATCTCTTCCCTCTCATAAACAGGAAGAAATATTATGAAACTAACATCTCAGTCTACACAATGAATGTTAACATTGAGAGGCAGGATGACCCAAGGCATGCCTGCGTCTGCATCTCGGAGTGAGGCCTCAGATGACAGATCATCTGATCGTGTGCTGCTCAGACCCTGGTGACCTCGCCTGAGTCCACTGCCATTTACCAAGCACGTGTCAGGCTCACTCTGCAAGGGGCACTTCAAAATTATGTCAAAGCAAAAGGTACTGCCATTCTGTGGAACAATGGCTCATTCTAGGGAAAATACAAGATGAGCCTGAAACTTCTTTGGGGGCCAGAAAGTAGGAAAGTGCTAGAAGAATGATGAGGACATGGCAAGATGGCGCAGGGGCCAGCCTGGAGGGACTCCCATGGGGCAGACCTCGGATAGTTCAGGCATCAGAGTAAACGATGGTCAGAGGCCGCAACACACTGAATACAGGCCACAAGTCTAAACGAATTAAAGGGGAAAAAAGTAGATAGAGAGGAAGGGAAAGTTCCTTCTTATGATAGAAAGACAACTGATACATGTGGAAAGAATGATGGAATTAGAAAACCAGACTTTGCTAGCCCTCATCGTAATGACTGATTCCAGTAAGAATCGTCAGAGGAGGCTAAAATCCTGGGTGAACGTTTGGAGAGTAACAGGATATTCACAGAGTTTCCAAGTATCTCCCCACAAGATACTTATAAATTACAAAGAGAACAGCAACAACTTTAAAATGGAGAGACCTGGCGGCCATCGCCTTCACTGAGTGACTAGGTTAACCTGACCAGGCCTGGAACCCATGGACCCGGTACCTCCTGAGAGGTGCACTAAGAGGGACATAGCACCCCTGTCTTCAGGATTTTTGAATCTAATCTTGAGGAAACATCAGACAAACTCAACTGAAGAGTCAGCCTACACAATTATGAGCCTGTATATTTTAAAAATATCAATGTCCTGAAAAACAAAGAAAGATTAAGAAACTGTTCCAGATTAGAAATCTGACAACGGAATGCAACAATATTTTCTGGAATTTCCGTTTACTATGAAGGACAATATTGGGACAGTTAAGAGAATCTGGGCTGGGCACCGTGGCTCAAGCCTGTCATCCCAGCATTTTGGGAGGTCGAGGTAAGAGGACTGCCTGAGCCCACAGGTTCGAGAACAGCCTGGGCAACTTGGCAAGACCTCATCTCTACAATAAATCAAAAAATTAGCAGGGCGTGATAGCACACACCTGTAGTTCTGGCTACTTGGAAGGCTGAGGTGGGAGGATCTCCAAGCCCAGCAGGTCGAGGCTGCGTTGGCCAAGAGCATGCCACTGCACTCAAGCCTGGGCGACAGAGTGAGACTCCAGTTCAAAAAAAAAAATAAAGAGAATCTGAACATGCTCCATAGATTACATAGATTATAGACGAACACTACATTAATACTAATTTCTTGCTTTTAATAATTATGCTCTTTTACAGAAGAGAACGTTCTTGTTCTTAAGCAACAAACACTAAAGTATTAAAGGGTCAAAGGAAATCATAGCTGCAGCACATTTTTAAATGGTAAATGAAAAAAAAAGTATGTATATACCAGATAGAGCAGAGAGGGAAGTGGAGAGAGAGAGAGAGAGGGAGCGTGAGGGAGGGGGAGGGTAAAACAACTGGGAAATGTTAATATTCGTGGAATCGGGTAAAGATATGTGTGTATTCTTGGCTTGCTCAACATTTCTGTAATTCTGAAATTATGTCAAAACGAGAAGTCGAGGGAAAGAAGGCCTGCCGTGGAGGAGGGAGGTCTCGAACCGTGAGCCCTGCTGACCCGGGCACTGGCGGGGAGCGTCCAGGCCCAGGGTCCGTGCTGAGGGCCCGCGACGGGTCATCTGTGCCCGGACTCCTTCTTCCCAGATCGAGTAAGGGGAGGCGGAATCTGCACGGAGCTGTGTTTCATTACATTTAAAGTCAGAGATCGTCTCTTAGAGGAAATCATTCCTACCTCTGATGTCCGCGGTATGGGAACCAGGGAAACCTCACTCTTGGAGTGCTTTGACGGTCACACAGAGGCTGTCCATAGCTCTCTGCGAGTCTCATCAACGTAGGCAAAGGCAAAGCTAGACACGCACATACCGCAGGCAGGCTTGCATTTCGTTCCTGACCCATTCCCAACATGGGTGACAGCAATCATGAGTAGAAAAAAATGATGATGAACACTTCTCACTCCAAACAGGCACATGCCACGTAACGACGCTTTGTCAAGGACGGGCCCTGCGCACGATGGTGGTCCCGTGTGACAACAGTGCCAAATTTTTATTCTGCCCTTTCTGTGTTTAGATATAGCTACATACACATCCCTACCATTGTGTCAAATTCAGGTGCAGCGTTCAGTACAGTCCCATGCTGTGCAGGTGTGCAGCCCAGGAGTAGACCATGTGAGCCGAGGTATGAAGTGGCTCTCCCATCTAGGCTTGTGTGAATACCCCCTCTGATGTTTGCTCAAGGTTGAGTCCACGTCCACACAGTTTTCGACCACTCCCCTGTGATTAAGCAACCCATGGCTGTATATGCAGTATGGGACTGGGGCACTCAACCTGCAGTTTCTTAAAAAGGAAGATTAGACAGTTTGAAGAGGATAAGGCAGCGTAATTGGAGTATGTTTGATTTAACATAAAGAATGGTTTTGGGACCAAATGTGCGACTGCCTTCTTGGGTGCGCACACAAGTAACAGAAAATGGGGGCGCTGAGACCAACTTGTAGCGAGGGCTGCTGGTCAGGGGGCTTTTAATTTGCAGAGGAGGTGAGTTGTGAGGTGGGGACAGGAGGCGGACGTGCAGGTGTAGACGCGTGTGCTGAGGAGTGGAAACTTGCGGGAGAGGAAGCTGGTGTGGCCTCTGCGCCATCACCTGGGTGAGAGGCCACTTTCCCTTTAAATGACTTTCCTGAACTTTCAATTCTGTCAAAGATCCAAGAGGGAGTTATGGTTTTTGGAAAACCTTGTCATGAACCTCTCACCTTCTTTTTTGAGAATTTTTTTAAAAAGCAAACCATTCAAAGAGACATATTTACATTCAGTTTGAATCAACCAGACAGCCAAGGACACCATCTCCAACTCCAGAAAAGTTAATGTGATTAAAATCAGCAGGCCAGAAAGGCAAACCTGCCCCCAAAGTTGCTGGAGATTCTAGAATTTTAGTGAGATGCTTATTTTCTTTTGAATCCTCAAGAGACTCAAAACACCCAAACCAATGGGGGACGGCGGAGAATCATTTAACAAGAAATGAGTGAAATCGAGCCGTTCTCTGGACACCCCTGGCTTCCCTCCTGCACCCTGGTTCTCCCGGCGGCCCCAGCTGGACTCACCGCAGGCCTGGGCTGAGTCCCGGCGGCACTGGCAGCACGCTCTGGGCACATACTCGTGGAGACGGGGTCTGTCAAAACAGGACAGCTCAGAGCCGTTGTACTGAATGTCCTGGGACCGCAGAGACCCTAAATGAGGGACAGGGATGAGAACTGGTCAGCAGACAGCGCCCTCCCGGGGGACATTCCGTGAGAGTCACCACACAGATCGGCGCCGGGCTAGCTTCTGGGGTTTTAAAGGAAAAGCCGACTGTCGTTCCAGCGCTTGACTGGTTCTTCTTTCTCAGAGACACACAGATGAAATAATTGTAAAGAAAGTTCAAAGTAAGATTGGGTGCGGTGGCTCACGCCTGTCATCCCAGCACTTTGGGAGGCTGACGTGAGAGGATTGCCTGAGCCCAGGGGTTCAAGACCAGCGCGGGCAACTTGGTGAGACCTCACCGCTACAATACATCAAAAAATTAGCTGGGTGTGGTGGTGCGTGCCTGCAGTCCCAACTACTTGGGAGGCTGAGGCAGAAGGATCGCCTGAGCCAAGAAGTCGAGGCCGAGGTAGACGTGATCCTGCCACTGTACTTCAGCGTAGGCCACAGAGTGAGACTCTGACTCAAAAAAAAAAGAAAAAAGAAAGTTCAAAACATAGGGTACTTATGTTGCCAATTCTGAGAACAATTTTTATTTTAGTGGCACGGGACGTCATAGGCTTGTCCGTCTCCTCATAAAGTCGTGCCATGTGATGAAATCTATAGTTGGCCGTTGACCAAAAGGGGTTTGGGCTGCAGGGGTCCACTTACATGCGGATCTTCTTCCTCTGCCACCCCTGAGTAGGCAGGACCCACCCGCTCCGCCCCCTCCTCCTGCTCTTCCTCCTCTAGGTGAAGGCCATGAGGGTGAACACCTTTGTGATGACTCACTCACTCAGGAACAGTCAATAGACTTTCCTCACAGTTATCTTCATGACAGTTCCTTTTCCCTGGCTTTCTGCATTGTCAGAACACAGAATATAAAACACAGGCAGCCTAGGAGGCGTGTGTTCATCAACTCTCCGCGTTATCGGTGGGGCTTCGGGAAGAGCAAGCTGCTAGTGGTCAAGTGCTGGTGGCGTCAAAGCTCCACGCAGACCGTGAGTTGCGCCCTTAGCCCCGCGCTGCTCAAGGCTCACCTGCATTTTCCATGCCCTCTGCTCCTGGACAGCGCGCTGACCCCGGCTGTACCCCAGTCCCGCATCGGGCATAGGGCAACGATGAGAAACGCACTCCCCCCAAATGCTAAGATGCAGGATGAGGTGATACTCACAGCTGGGTTTCTTCTCCATGAACTGCCTCTTGCAGTAGATGACACTCAGGGTGAGCAGTGCCAGCAGGACGGTGGCCAGGGCGCTGCAGATGACGGCGGCCAGGGCAGTGTCCCGCGGGCTGGAGGCCGTGGACGCGATCTTCACGAGGTTGACCTTGCTGGCGCCTGAAACCACAGGAACACGGGCTCAGTACCCCCGACGTCCCGGAGATGCCACGCTCACGTGAAGCTGGCGGCCACCCTCGGCAACCTGTACCCCCAAATGTGCCGGATGTCCTCTCCTGTGTTCCCACACCATGATGGCCACAGGCCCTCGACGTGTCGTGTGACAGAGCCCTGCTTTGGGACCACCAGAGCAGAGGTCTTTGGGAGCTGGGGGCTGCCATCTCGACCTCTGTCTTCCCAGAACTCGGCGCCCAGCAGGGAATGAATGTTCCTTAGTTAACTAGATTTAGACTATCTGCGTATCTAAGCAGACTGATGCAAGGATGACTTTTTGGGCAACTTTAGGGGAAAACAAGGAGGAGATGGATTATTCACAGCTTTACAGTAGACCCCCAATTTCTGAGACAGTAGATTTTTGAATGCCTTAGCTGTTCAATGACTGAAAAGCACCAACGTTTTGGAGAAAAGACAAATTTGTTATTATACTATGGAGAAGCAGGTATAAGAAAATCAAGAAATGAATGCTGTTTTAGTGCAGGACTGCCTGGTGGTTCAGAGCAGATTCTGAACCCCACAGTCTTGGTCAACCTTTACCTCTGTGACCGTGAGCCCCTGACTCAGTTTCTCTGAGTCGCAAGTCCACATCTGTTCCAGTGCAGCTAGAGCAGTACCTGTCTCATAAATCGTCATCTGACGCTCTTAGGATAGGCCGTGGGCTCAGTGCGGCAGAATCAGCAGCTACTGTAATGACGATGACCATAATTAGCAGTTTGATTATCCTTAGGGCAACGGGACGGGTGAACACATTTCAATGAGAAACCCATATCCAGTGAAGTCACAGCAGATGCTAGTTATTTATTTATTAATTTATTTATTATTTTAATGTAAGTTACTTTTTTCTTTTTCTTAATTTTTAATTAAAAAAAAAAAAATAGAGATGGAGCCAGGTGCGGTGGCTCACACTTGTAATCCCAGCACTTTGGGAAGTGGAGGCTAGAGGATTGCCTGGGCTCAGGGGTTCAAGACCGGCTTGAGCAAAGTAGTGAGACCTTGTTTCTACAATAAATCACAAAATTAGCCAGGTGTGGTGGCACACACCTGTGGTTTCAGCTACTTGGAGGGCTGAAGCACAAGGATACCTGAGCCCAGCAAGTCGAGGATGCGGTGACTGTGAGTATGCCACTGCAATCCAGCCTGGGCAACAGAGTGGGACTCTGACTCAAAAAAAAAAATAGAGATGGGGTCTCGTTATGTTGCCCAGGCTGGTCTTGAGCTCTCGACCTCAGGCAATCCTCCCGTCTTGGCCTCCCAAAGTGCTGAGATTACAGGCGTAAGCCACTGTGCCCAGCTGCATATCCTACTTAAATGACCACAGATGAACCTGGGAGAGAGACTTTGAGAGGTATGTGACATCCAAAAAGAGGGGCAATCACATCTTCTCTTTCCCGAGTTGATGTCCATTATGCATCCCCCACGGTGGCCCTAGGCCGCCAGGTCCCCCTGCGGTAGGTCCCATGGAAGTAATACTTGTGTCTCAAGTGTCCTTTGAAGTTGTTAAAAGTCAAATGTAAAAAGTAAAAAGATACAGGGGACGTTAACCTTATTCTACTTAGCAATACAGCTTAAAATACTGCATTTCAACATGAATTTGACATCAAGTTTACCAACGACCTATTTTGCATTCTTTATTCTGTACTGGAACTTTGATACCCAGTGTGACTTCACAGGGATGGCCATTTCCACTTGGACCGGCCACGGCTCCAGTGCGTGTGGCTAGTGACTGTTGTCATGGACACTGACTAGAGACCAAAGGTTTGTATCTCTATTTGTACGACTCATCACCCAAACACAAGCCGACTTGTCATCTGAGACTTTCTCCTCGCCCCTGGCTACACCCCAACCCCCAAGAAGACTGGTTTCCACTGTGTGACCCTTGAGTTTAGAACCTGAAAGAAACATGTGGGGTGATATTACTGAATTAGAAAAATAGGATAGCACTTGAGAGGGCTCCTATAACTACTTGGGAGGTCGAGGCAGGAGGATCGCCTGAGCACAGAAGGTCGAGGCTGCAGAGAACCGTGATCATGCCACTGCAATCCAGCCTGGGCAACAGAGTGAGACCCCCGATTAAAAAAAAAAAAAAAAAAAAAAGCATGGCAGGAACTGTCCTCTTGGAGGGTCAGTCCTGGTATTTCCAGTCTCTGTGACTCTAGGCCTCCCGGATAAAAGTTTCTTACCCCACCTGGGAAGGCCCACAGAAGCTCTGGGTCTAGCTGAGGAGGGCTCACAATTCACTCACATTTTTAAGGACACTTATTTTGTAAACATGTTGAATATTCACAAAATATATTCTCTCACATAGCACTATAGGGATGCCACGGTGATCACACCGCACACATTACATGTTCACCAAGCAGCAAGTTACACGAACTATATCCCTGGCCTGAGAGATGAAATCTGATCTAAAGCAGCCTCTCTCGGTGGACAGATGCACAGAAGGGTGCACGAGCACAAGAACAGCTGTGTGAACACTGACAACACATGAGGCAGGAAGCTGCGTCCCTGCAGTGCAAGCAGCAGGTCACGCCACAGAGGTGACGTGGAAATGCCAGCACTATCTGCGTGGACCAAGCATGGCACCGTGGGACACGCAGTCACCCCATCTGCATTTGTGAGGATGGCAGTCACTTCAAAGGGCGAAGGGTTTCCTTTGCTCACATTTTCGGTCAAGTATCCCATCCCAGGTATGACACCTGACTTGAGTTGAGGACTTCCAAGTTCCTAAGTGTCGTCACTGCCAAGTCAAGCTCATCGTCGACACAGCATCAAATATTCAGAAAGAGCCTTGGAAGAACAGGGATTTCAGGTAAAATTAGCATCATGACGACGCCGTGTCCGCTAATTTCTTATTGCTTAAAATCCTTCCAAAACACAGTAGTCATCTTGCTTGCCTTAACATAAAAGGAACGGTCTCTAACTTATGTGGGTTAAAGGGTCCCCAAAGCGGAGATTTTATTTTTAATTTGGTCATTTGTAACTCAGGATTTATTTTCTCCAAATCACACAGCTTTCCATGTCAGGACACTAGGGTTGTAATTTCAGTGATACCTAGTTGCCATGGTAACATCAGTGTTCAAGGCAAGGGCATCCCATATGCTCCTTCTCTGTCCCTCCTTAGTCAGTGGTGGCGAAAGCCTCACAAGAAAAAGACATGTTTTGTCTCTCGGCTGTTGCCAGCCATGTGAGAAAAGGCGTTTTATGAACCCAAACACCCAAGGAGCATCTTCGAGGGAGGTCTGACTCCGGAAACTGCATCTTGATTCTTATTTACACGCTGATGATGTCACTGACAACAAGCACCTTTAAACCAATAGGACATGATTCGATCATTTTAAATCGTGCTTGAATTGTCCTATGCAGCAATGCAGGAGTGAACATGGGAGCTCTGGGGACAGGGCTGGACACTATCTGAATTCAAAACATCTCAGAAGCTCATTCCTAGATGCTCCTGGTCAAAGCCCATCTTCTTACGATTCTTTCTGACTTGAGCAGTAGAAAACAAAAGTTCGGGGGTTGTACCAGCTATACTTGGCTTCCAGGCTACGGAGTTCTGGTTGACTGAGTGATCACTGAGAATCCCTCAGAAGAGGAGTTATCTGCTACACTCTGAAAAGTGCTGCCTTGCTGTTCTGTGGCAGTGACAACAAGATGACGGGCCTCCCACCCCCAAGCCCTGACTCCGTCCCATCCATAGTTCAATAAGCATTAGTGAATGCCCGCAAGGAATTCCCCCCATACCTTATTAGGGTTCTGACCGCGTTTTGGGTGCCCACATTCTTGGAAAGTTTTCAAATTCTCTGGAATACACAGGCTTTTCTTGCCCTGACCAATTAAGTTACTAAATTCCACCGTGATCTTAGCACTGCCTGGGTAGTTTATTTCAAGTGAGAACTGTCTCCTGAAGCTACATTTCATTACATACTCTGCACAGGCCCGGTGTGGTACCATGCACGCCCTTGAAATTCAGCTCAGCTGAACCATTATGCACTGTCTGTTACAAGTAAGACACCAGGGCATTAAACAAGGTGAAGGGGAATCTGAAGAGAAGACAGAGGTCACCAGCAACGTCTGGCGAGCATTTCTTTGACGTCAGGTCCGGAGACCCACATCCTCCCTGACACCTCGCATCTTCAGGAGCACTGTGCGTAGCTGGCAGGACGTGAGAGGCATCTACGGGGCAGATTCACGTCACTGGACACGGGTAAGAGGACACCACGGACACTGCACACCAGAAGCCCACATGTAGGCTGCAGAGGGGCTGAGCCACAGATGCTGGCTTGTGTAGACGTGTGCGTCTTTGACCGCCTGCAGTGGCTTGTGTAGACACGTGTACCCACCACACCTTGCTGACACATCTCAGTGACATCTCCTTCCTTCCTAACGAGTGAAGCAACGAGTGTCACTGACGATCCTCGTTTGATACTTGGGAAAGCCAGGATTTGGAGCCACACACTCAAGGTTATAGGGCAACGTGGAGCCGGTTTGAGCTGAATCTCAGCATCCTTATTGGAGAGATTAAACGGTGGCCCCTCGTGCAGACACCAAGACTCACCAGGAGGTGCTTGAGGGGCCCCGTTCCTTCTCTAAGGGTAGGGGAACTCCCCTGGAACCAGGAGTCCTGCACGCTGATGCCCCTACTGGTCGTAAGGCCCATGCCCACTCTGCCTGACTGGTTCTCCCCACAGAAATTGGCACGGCCTTACGTGAGAGACGCAGACCTGATAGGATGCCGTGTGTCACTGGTTGCTCTCCTTGACTCCAGGCTTAGACATCCAGCAGTCTGCTGGACGCCTCGCCGTGGAGAGAGATGCCCCTTCAACCCAGCATGCCCCAAAGATGAGCCCCATGGCCACAACCAGCCCCTAAAAAACCTCTCTGTTCCCCTACAAACCTTCCCCCATCACTGCTTCCGTCTTTACACTCTTCCCCAACTGTCCAGG